TTTTCAGTCCTTTAGAAAGGGAAGCTAACTTGTCATTTTGAAAGCAAACTTTAAGGGATGAGTAGTCGTTGAAAAACATTCATGTATAACCTAAAGAGCATTCTCGTGGTAAAAGTTCAACCTCCTCAAGACCGTTGCATATCACTCTGGAACCTGAAGGGCTACGGATTCAAATTAAATGTCCTGCTGCTACTATTTCCATTTTACTACCAGAAGAATTGATCTCTGTGGCAAATTTGTACTCAATATTTGTTCTTTGAAGTAATCCATGAACATCTCAAAATACTGTTATTTTAATAATTATGAAACGAAACTTATTTGAATGCTCTTAATTTAAAAGGGCCATAGAAATCACCTGGTATATTGTTGTCACTTACAGATAAGGAAAGAGAGGCCTATGGAGCAAGAGAAATAAGACTTAAAAATAATCAACTCCTGAATGCTTTACTTTTATCCAACAAATATCCCTGGGTGCCTGCCCTGTGACAGCACTGTTCTAGGTACCAGGAAAGTGCGTGAACAAATCAGAAACACAGACAAAGATCTCTGCCTTATAGGATTTCAGGATAGGCCTGTTTTTACTAACATTGGTACTGGATCCATTTCAGGTCCCTGTGGTTTTCATTTCTCTCATCTCTTATTTATGCTGACTTTATAGTTTTTTTGTAAGACAATTTAAATCCATTTTGAAATAATGTGGGGTATAAACATATAAATGACACATTTATGTCAACATTTATTTATAACAAGTATTTATTAAATGTTTATAGCTATCTCATTAATATTAAGAAGGCATTTTTTAATACAAAACAAAGTCTGGAGATCTAAATTTTAATCAACAGGTACAATTACCATATGAACCTAAGGGGAAATTTGCCTCCATGGTGAGATTTGATGTATCTGTAATAGGCCAGTGAGGAAGATACACTTCTGGCAGGGAGTAGAGGCCACCTAAGTCCATTCTCACATAGACCTGTTCATGTGTATCAGCTCTGGCTTTATTAATTTCATTTCAATATAGGTGGCCATGGAATATCATTTACATGTCAAAGAAGAAAAAGCTAGACTGCAGAAAGGCCTCTGGCACCGCTGCTGCTCTGGACAAGGACCACCATGACATTGTCAGGTGTGGGGTGATTGGGTGCTGTGGGGGAAGTGGGGAGGGATTTTGGACAAAGTACAAGCCCATTTTGCATTTCTCCCTTTCAGATTTGAGAGGTTTGTGATCTTGTTGCATTTGTGAAATGGTTGGTATTATATCTTGATTTTCCTAGGGGGTTACAGGTTTATCTATTTCCTTTTCTAATATATCTGATATCTGGGACATTCTTATGCCTGGTTATTAGAAATTTAGTGGAAAACAAGACCATCTTAGTGCATGTTGTATTCTGTCACATAGCACATTATCATGGAGAAAGACGGCCTGTATCAACATCTATTACATCAAAATGCCTAGAAAGTGAAAGATTTTAGAGACACCTTTGCGTAGGTGTAGCTGTTTCCATCTTCAAAATAATGAATGGTTTATAATACCATATAGTTATTTCTAAAAATCGACAGTGCCTCAGGTATATTGAGACAGCAAAACAATCAACAGTTGTTATTTCCCAAATGTTAGAGGGGTCAAGAAAAATGTAGCAAAAGAAACAGATTAACATTTTTTGTTAAGTATTCCTTAAGCTTTTTTTATAACTACAACCATTGATAATCAAGATTGTCTGGTAGATTTCATATTTGAGATGAGATCTATTCATCTTTCATAGCTCATGAACTGCCATTGATAAGTATAGAGAAATTTTCGCTACAAACATTTTGCAAAACTTTTCTCATATTTACCAAGAAATTTATGATACACGTAGAAAACCATGACAATAAATCCATAGATGAGTCCCATTTTTTCACTTTAATAATAACAATTCTAACATAGTGAAAGCCTTCTATCTATCTGGGTAGCAGATTCAGGCATTTATTTTTGACTGCCATTATCTTAATCTGGAGCTGCATGGTCTAATATGGTAACCATGTGGCTATTTAAATTAAAATTAATTAAAATTAAATAAAATTAAAAATTCATTTCCTCAGTCTCGGTAGGCACATTTCAAGTGCTTAATCACCACATATGGCCGGTTGTACCATATTAGATGGTGCAGATGCAGAGCGTTTCCACCACTGCAGACAGTTGGATCAGACACTGCTGCAATCTTCAGAGATGCCACAAGAAATAGACAAAGCTACAGAGATGATGACACGCAGCCTGCCACGTTGTTTTGGCATCTGGAACAAATGACCACTTTCATGTGCACGAAACTGGTACTGAGAGCAGGGTGTGGGCTGAGAAACCTAAGCATGCAAAGACATCTGTCTGTTTCTAACTCTTACTTCTACCTTCTGATGTTACCATAGAGTACCTTTGTTATTTCAAGAACATACGACGGTTCCTAACCTGGTGAAGATCTGGTCAGCTAATCCAGAACAAGTAGAAGAGGAGTCTGAGGACCTGGGGAGGGATCCCCAGACCAGCACCTTCACAGACTACAATGACCCTGAGAGGCTGGGGCAGCCTGTGCCAGGATTTAGAGCAGTGCCTCCTAAGTCCTTCAGAGCCATAGGCTCTGGAAACACCAATAAAGAAATAGACGTGCTTCTCACTTAGTTATGCGCTTCATTTCAGGTGCTCGCAGATCCACTTGGAGTCCCTAGGGTGTCTGAGGAGAGGTGAGAGAGGCCATATCCTCTGAGGGAAGCACTGCTCCTCAGGAGTCCTCAGTGAGGGATGAGCTATGACACTGAGACGAGAGGTTTGCACGACCAGAAACCGCTGCCCACACACAAGAGTGGAGTGCAGGGCCTTGGCCTCTTGCTTTTTCAAATGTGCCACGAAATAAATATGAAACTATGGATAGATGGTTCCCAAACCTATGATTAATAATCTGAATGTCTTACCTTCAGTGATATAGTAATGCAATTAAAATGTAGTAGCGACTTTCTAAAAGAAGTCCACAGCTTCTGGAAGAAGATGTTTTTCTAAATTTATGCTATTATACTACCAGTGACAGCAAATAAATTGTTTCTTCTTTTTATTACTTTCTAGCTTGCTGAATCAGTACTATAATCAATAGTAGCTTAAGAGAATTAATATATCCATAAAAAAGAAAAGCATTTTATATCCCTGCTGACTGTTGGATTATCAAGGATAAAGAAAATGATTCATCTCATATTTTTATTAATAATTTATTTTCAAAATGATTTTTTTCTAGTCTCTACACTTCTAAGGTTGCTTATAAAATTATTTGAATCATAATAAATCTACATAATTTATTTTCATTAATGCAATTTATGTGTAGATTATAATTACCTGAAAAACACCAGAAGCCACTCACTTTTTATAAAGAATTATGACGTATTATTCTACTCAACAGGAATCAGGTTTTGAAGACACTCTACTGTGTTATCTTGTATGAGCCAGTACATAGATAGGCAAACACAAAATCCATGCAACCAATCAAATATACGAATCCAAAAATCCCAACAAAACTTTGGAAATACATACTTATATTAAGACTAAAGTATGAAAGTTAGTTATACTCGCTACATATTTTTTCTCATCATACATACATTTTCACATAACAAATTCAGACTCTAACAGAGACTATCATAAAGGAGACAATAATGTTACTCACCTCTTTCCCACCCCCCCAAAATTTTATAATAAGGTTTCCTAATAAGGATACCACCAAGTTCCTCTTGTAACATAAGCTGGAATAATTCTAAGTTCGATAACTGATACCGGATGACTGCTCAAGAATTAGAAATGTTTGATTAAAATATGAAAATATTTTAAAAGACATACTAGATATCATGCAAATAATCCTTTCGATGTTTCTATACGGGAAGGAAAATTTTAATTTTAATGCACCTTTTTAAGCTATTTGATTTCTCAAAGTAAATTACTATAAGCTATTTGCTTTGATTTATGTTTAACAAATTTAAACATAAATTTATTTGTTACTAGCTACAAACGATTCCTAATTTGCTTTTGGCTACGACTGCTGGACTTCCAAGTTAAATGTGTCAATTGCTTAACGTAACTGATATTTGGCCAAAGCCTTTTCTTGTCCTTAAGTTGATGTGATACTCATAAGTGTGCACAACTGCTTTGCTGTCTGTAGGCAGAGAAGCCCTTTTAGCTGATAAATATCACCAAAAGCAAAGTCTTTGATCACAACAATAATTAAATAGCAGGAGCCGGTTAGAGACCAGCATTTATTTCTCTCAAATTAAATGTAAAAGCCTTCTCCGGTTAAGAGATTGGCAAGTTTTTACAAATAACATCAGTCAGCCTTTTCTAAAGGAACACAACCACATTGGAATGGAGTCATTAGGCAATGCATTTATTTTGAAGCCAATTAACATTTTGTCAGAAAATTGTCTATGCTGTAATGGCTTTGGCGGTGGAGGTCAGCCTCTAACAGGGCACGTGTGACAGCCATGGCGCGGGCTGACACAGGCTGGGACGGAGAGGAGAGCCAGGACTGGGATCGGCCTGCTTTTGTATTCTACTCTGCATTTCCAGAGAGCAGACAATCTTGACCTATCCATTTAGGTAATTAAAGCTTCCATTTGGAAGTGTCCTGCAGGAAGGTGAAATTTGGGGTAGATAAATGGCTGTTGCTCTCCGTATCCAGCCGCCAGTTCCATCATTTGATGGACTGCCTGATCAGGCCGGGCTGCCAGGTTCTCATAAAAATAGAGATGAATTGGGCAGCAGACAATTCTCTAAGGCAAAGCAACTCTGTCATTTTCTTCTTTGCAGGCTGTAATTTAATTGTTAGTCAAGGTGGATGGCTGACACAGGGGGGGTTTCTCTGAGAGCTTTCCCACCATCTTCCATGTGCTGAGAAATGACTCCAGTTTATTTACTTAGCAGTCAAGTGTGTTTGGTATTGGGGGATGTCACTCCAGGAAGTGCAGCTGGCCGGCACAGCTGTGTCCTGACTTACCTTCCAGGCGATTTTGTTTCCTTTCGAATCATGCTCAAGGGCAATTGGGAAGTCACCTCGCTCATAGAATTTTCGAAATGCTGTGGGCTTGGTTGGTCTTTCTTTAAATGCCCCTGCCATTGGAGGGCCTCTCACCTTAATTGAAGAAAAAAAAAAAAAAAAAATAGGGCTCAGGTTTTAAGACATACTAAAAACATTCACAATAAAAGGGCTTTCTGTTTTAAAAGACTTCAGTTTGTATAAATATGTTGGAATATAAAACCACATTATCTAATAAGGGACAACAGAAATCTGCTAATACAAACACCTGGGGAAGAAAATTATTTTATAATCACTATTAAAAGTCTACTTTATTTCAAGCTACTTTAGAAAGCATTCCTAGAAAATGTCAGTTAAAATATCACTTTATAGGGAAGACTGATACTACATTTACGAAAAACATTTTAATAGAAGTGTCTTAAGCTTAGAATGTTAAAACTTTAACAATTTCAAATACTATAAATTCTGATCTTGGGTTTGATATACTTTGTGGAATACTGAAGTAATTTAAAACATTTCAATCTTTCTATATATATATGTAAAATAGTGGAATATGTTCTCATATTATGAATATTAACAATGAAACTACTAAAGTGATATAAAAGTAATAGTAAATGAGTGTAGAAAGAAAAAAAAGGTGGCCTATTATGTGTGTGTATTTGGTAACATGAATCCACCTTTGGTAACATGAATTCACAAGAAAGTAACAGAACAGATGAGAAATTAGAACCGATGAGAAACTTCCATCTCCAAAACTGAAATTTTCATTAAAGAAGAAATATTTCCTATAGAGTTATTTACATTGAATACATCTTTTGAATCTGCATTATTTACATTGGACCTGATTCATTAGATTACAAAATTGAAAGTAATCAGTAAACTACTTAGAAAATGAGTGTACTGCTCTGTTCCTTACATATAGTCTAACCATGATTATTTTTCCCTGCTTATTATAAAAAGGTAAATACTAGTCATTTTATATATTAGCTTAATAAATTCATGATTACTTTGCTAATACTATGGACAGAATAATATAACTTAATCTTTTTAGTTATTTTATATGTTAATTTGTAATATTTTGTTAAAAACTCCAATTTTGATGAATATATTAACCTATCTAAATAACATACAATAAATATACAATACACATTAGATATGAAAAGTACATTGTATCTAATACATATATAAAAGGATTATATTTGAAATTAAGTGTGGTATGAAGAAATACCTTATTACAATGAGTAAATGCTGAAGTGGAGTTGAAGAGTGAGGTAACACACGTTTATTAGAGTTTAGAATTTACTCCACTACATAGCACATCACTCCCAGTATATGATTATATGAGTAATTGAGGCAGCATCGGGCATTACCAGTAGGAAGGAAGATTTCCTTTCACTTATTGAAGATTAGGAATTTGTTCTGGAATTAGAATTAATAGCCACCATTTTCAGTCAAATTCATTCAATTGTTAAATAACCACATGTATTTAACAACAATTTTGTTCAGCTCTTTGAGCTGGAGGCTATATAAAAAGAACAGTTTTAACTATATTACTGTCATGGAAACTGTAGAGCTGTGATTCCCGGACTTTTGAAACTCATGGAGGAGTAAATCTTGAATCACATTTTTGGGAATTGATAAATGATTGACAAATTTTTATGTTGCCAAAAAGTTATTTTTTTAAGTTATATTTTAGTTATTTTAGTTATTTTTTCAATTTTTTTCTGCATCAATCAGTATGCTTCTGTGATTTTTATTCTGTCACCTTTTGATATGGAGTTTTCTATTACAAATGTAATATAATAGCCTTTAAAGTTACAGATGTAATATAATAGCCTTTAAAGTTACAGAGCTACTCAAATAATCTGCTTCCTATTGCATGACTTGCAGTAACATGTATTTTCTGAGGAATTGGTCCGTTTTATTTAAGTTGTCAAACTTACAAGTGTAGAACTGCTTGTGGTTTTTCTGTATTATCCTTCTGATGTCTGGAGGGTCTCTCAAGATATCCATTATTCAATTCTGATATTTGGTAATTTGTGTCTTCACTTTTTCCTTTGTCCGTCTTACTAGAAGTTGGCCAAGTTTATTGATTTCTTCTGCATTTCCAAAACCACATTTTAACTGGATGTAGGACTTAAGGTTCATGGTTCTTTCTTTTAGCACTTGAAAAATAGTGTGCCACTTCCCTCTAGCCTTCAAAGCTTTGGATGATAAATCCACTCTCATTCACATTGCTTTCCCTTATTGATAAGGTGCCACTTTTTTTTAGTTATGCCAAGATTTTTCTCGTCTTTAATTTTCAGAAGTTTAATTATGATGTGTCTTTGCATGCATTTCTTTGCTTTCTATCCTGTTTGAAGTTTGTTCAACTTTGTGAATCTGTAGGTTCATGTCTCTTGCCAAATTTAGAAAGCTTTCAGTCATTATTTCTTTGAGTACTTCTTTGGCCTGGCTTCTTTCTCCTCTCTTTGTAGACTCCAATGACATTAATGTTAGATCTTCTGTTATGGTACCATGGATCCCTGAAACTTCTTTTTTTCAGCCTATTTTCTCTGTCGTTCAGATTGGGTAACTTCTACTGCTCCGTCTTCAAGTTTGTGGGTTCTTCCTTCTGCCTCCTGCATTCGGCTGTTGAGCCCAAATGCACTTTTATTTAATTAGAGTTCTATTTTAAGTCCTACAATTTCTATTTGGTTCATCTTTATATTGTCTAGTTCATTTCTGAGACTCCACTCTTTCATTGTCTCAAGTGTGTCATAATATTCATAAAAGCATTTTTGAAAGTAATGTAAAATTCTTCCCTAGACGTTTCTAACATTTCTGTTATCTTGTTGTTGGCACCTGTTGATTATATTTTTACATTCACTCTGAGATCTTCCTGATTCTTGGTGTCATCACTGATTTTCTTGTGAAACCTGGATGTTTGATACATTATATTATGAGATCTTAAAGCTTCTGCTTTAGCTTGCTTATTCTGACATTTCTCTGGCAAAGGTTGGGGAAAGGGTGCTACCTTATTACTGCCAAGTTCGGATAAAGTCTCATTACTCTACTTGGCATCTACTGCCCTCAGAGGAGGGAATGCTTCATTAATACTGAGTGACCCCAGAGGAGAGAATGCCTCATTAATACTGGGTGGGGATGGAGATTCCAGAACCCACTAGGCCTCCACTGATAATCTCCTGGCTGGAAGAGGCAGGAGTGACTCATTACTGCTCCCCCATTGTCCACACTGACATCATAAATGGTGTGGCCTCATTCCCCTGAGCAGTGGTGAAATTCCTGACTCTCTAGGCAGCCCTCTGACTTAACTCCAATGGGGAGGAGGCAACTCTTTTGTCACTAAGTGGGGAACAAGCCCAAGCTCCTGGTGAGGTCTCTCTCCACTGGCACTGCAGATGTTGGGACCTCTTTACTATTCTATGAAGAAGAAAGTCCCAATGCCCCATTTTAAAAACTCAACTACAACCACTATTTAGATATTCTGTTTGCTAATCATCCACTAACCATCCTTTTTGAGTGTTTCTAGAAGTCACATAGTTATTTTTACTGCTGATAGTAAGCCTCGAACTTACTGAGTTGGTCTAAAATCTGTTGAGATCATCCATCTTTCCCCCTTTTGTCTTTGCATTTCTTTAAAAATCAAGTTCTCTTTTCTTTTTGTCTCTTATACTGAATATACTCCAATCTTTCTGATTCTCAGCTCAAAATTCTTAATGTTCAAACTTTTGAAGGAGTGGACACATTTCTAACAAAGCTTAGAAGGCTTTTTATAAATTGATATAGATAACTTAATCTTCTTCCTTTCAATAAATTTTCATGTACCCTACAGAAATGATTCCATGCCTGCACTTCCAGGGAAAGCCTTTATTTAGAAGAGAACTTTACAACATAATCCATGGTGATATGTAATCACTTGACAGTGAGAAATTCTCTTCTTGAGTCTCTGGTATCCTCTGTCTTTATATTTCCGCTATTTACTTATTTTTAAACACTTTATACTTTTTGGGATCTGCTATAGATCCATTCTAAATTAACTCTTGGCATCTCAAAAGCCAGAACTTGTAACAGAAGCTAGAATGTTCTCAATTAGCTCCCTCGGTGCATCAGTGGCACTGAGTGGCACCGAATTTTATGCAGATGCTTTGTCACTACAGCCAAAATAGTATTTTTTCTGTTCCAGATACTTATGACATGTGTATCCACCTAAGCTTTATAGAAGGACATACCATTTTTATATTCTATACATAATTTATTCCATATAATCCCAAAAATCTGTACACAAAAAAATCAAGTGAAATATAATTAATTCTGGGATGGTAATAAAGATCTTATTATTGGAAACCACACAGATGGATGTAGCTTGTCTAAACAACTTTTAAAACAAGCAAAATGACCTGAAACTCCTTAGGTAAGTTCCATATTTGTAGGAGAGAAAATATTATAAATTTTATTTCATGTTTTAAGAATTTTACCTCAATTTATTATAAATAATAGAAAGCAAACAAGAGACCATAAATCAAACGAGATTTGTGGGAAAATGCAATTAAGGTTTGCCTGAATGGTAGGGGCAATCTGTAAACCAATTAGGAAGAATGGATGTTACAGCAGAATGCTTTTAATAAAATCCGATGCGCTTGGGAACCAAGATACTGAATGCAGTTTGAAATGAATACAGATGACAGAATACTTTATATGCCTACATTTACGGAATGTGGTATAATGGATTTCGGACTTAGATCACAGTGTCTGTCATATGGTCACAAAACTAATAATAAGAAGGAAGGAATGTAAGGCTCTTCAAAAGTCTTCATTATATAGTTTGAAAATTTTCTTTTCACTATTTTTATTCTTTAGCATAAACTGAAGCTGTTTAAAAAAGACTTTTATATCAACAGGAAATTTGCATTGTGTTTTTCTAATTGGCCAATTTAGCCAACCCACTAGAATGCTGAAACAATAGGATGCAAAGGTATTGATTTCTTGTTTTCATCAGCTTCAATCTGAAATTCTGATTCGTGAAAATGCCATTGCTATAAACAGGTGGGCAAGACCTGTTGACTTGAGTTCTGTCAAGACTGAACTGTTAGTCT